CTGCTCAGCTCGGGCTGGACTCGAACCGCTGTTGCTCAGAGCTCAAACTCTTGAGCGAGCTCTTAACCAACTGAGCCACTCGGCCGGCCCTTCCTGGGTCCTTTTGGCTTTTTTTTTTTAAGCACTTTCTTGCATTGAAAGATACTCCAAGATAATTTTTCATTTTCTCTGCCACAGCCCTAGAATCTGCCATTTCTCCAAGGAGCCCTGGTTTCTTATATTGGAAATGATATTTAGAAACTCAGATCTGGGTGCTGAGTATACGCATTGCTACTGGAGTATCACTGCTTCTGGAGGCAGATGGAGCTAGGAAATATGTGTGTATATCCTATCACATGAATGTACACATATCTATCTTTATTTTCATATCTAACTATTAAAAATAAACATGTCATACTGATAACCCCAATTCAGCACCATATTGTTTATTTGTAACTTCCTTCTCCAAAAGCATGAGACCTGGCTGTCAATATCCACAGCATATATTCAAAGTCTGACAATTAAGTTCACGAACTTGCCACCGTGCGCTTACACTGACAGCACTGTACAAACAGCTCAGTAAGGTTTCATAACTTTGGTATATCAGTGTCTCACAGTTATGTTCGTGTTGACGTATGGCGGTGTCTTGTTGAGTGGTGTTTATTATTGTTGTTGTGTATTTTTGTGTGCCATCCCAAGAATGTCTGAGATTGAATGAGAGCAACAAACAAACGTTACATTTCTTGTTAAACTTGGCAAGAGTGGAAGAGAAATCAGGGACATGTTAGTTCAAGTTTGTGGGGATAATGCCATGAAGAAAAACGGCAGTGTACAAATGGATTAAACATTTTTCTGAGGGGAGAGAACACGTCACTGATGAGAGAGGTCAGGGTGGCCAGTAACAAGCACAACTGACGAAAACATTGCAAAAATTCGTGGAATTGTGCGTCAAAATGGTTGGCTGACTGTGAGAAGCATAGCAGACCAAGTAAACATCGATAAAGAAACAGTTAGGAAAATCTTAGCTGAAAATCTTGGCATGAGAAAGATGTGTGCAAAAATGGTCCCAAAGGAACTCAGCAATGAACAAAAGCAAAGGAGAGTCAAAGTTTGCCAAGACCTTTTGGAAAGGCAAGATGATGTTTGGGCCATGTTATCACTGGCGATGAAACATGGGTGTACCAAGAGGACCCTGAAACAAAGCATCAAAGTGTACAATGGAAGTCAGCCAATTCTCCACGACCAAAAAAGTTCTGTCAGTCCAAATCAAGAGTCAAAACGATGTTGCCTAAACTTTTTTGATATCAAAGGGATTATTCATGATGAATTTGTACTAATTGGACAAACAGTTAACCAAGTTTACTATTTGGAAGTGCTGAAAAGGCTGAGTGAAAAAGTTGGACGAAAATGACCTGAACTTTTTGCCAGCAATTCATGTCTCTTGCATCATGACAATGCACCAACTCACAAGGCACTGTCTGTGAGGGAGTTTGTAGCCAGTACACAAATAACTGTATTGGAACACTCTCCCTATTCACCTGATCGGCCCCCAATGACTTCTTTTTTTAACCGAAGATAAAGGAAATATTGAAACGAAGACATTTTGATTGCATTCGGGACATCAAGGGTAATATGATGACAGCTCTGATGGCCATTCCAGAAAAAGAGTTCCAAAATTGCTTTGAAGGGTAGACTAGGTACTGGCATCAGTGCATAGCTTCCCAAGGGGAGTGCTTCAAAGGTGACCACAGTGATATTCAGCAATGAGGTATGTAGCACTTTTTCTAGGATGAGTTCACAAACTTATTAATTGTCATGCCTTCTTACTTATTTGTTCAATGTTAGCATATAAGTAGATCCAGAATTGTTAACCTGTATACTTTGTGAAACAAATTTACTGACTAGAGTACTGTGTTTCTGTACAGTTCAGACAGAGGTTTGAAGGGGAAACCTCTGAGCTAAGCAAACAAGCCTGTTGCTGTGAGCTGGAGTTGGCCATCTGGCCTCCAGTTTGAGACCCCCATTACTGCTCTCTAGTAACTGGCTGTGAGAAAGTTGTCAGTTTGCACCTCCCTGCAGCCGTATTCACCTCTCAGGATTATTTGGAGGAGGGTGGGAAGGGGGATTGGGAACCCCTGCTACAGTCTCCTGGTTCTCTTGAAGGGTGTGGGTCTGAAGGGACTATGGGAGGCATTTTACTCTTTCAGAGGTGAAGACACAGCTCAGCAAGAGTGGGCGAAGACAGGGCAGGGCGGTCCCTGTGGGTAAGGGCCCTGGCAGCAAAACCTGCTAGGCAGGTGTGCTGGCCCAGGCATGCATCAGGGCAGGTGGATTGTAGCAGGAGCTTGGAGGCCAGAGGGTGCTCTTCCCCTAAGAAGAGACCAGGGATGGCTGGGGTGGGAGTAGGGGAGCTGGTGGTGCCTGGGGCCCTCGTAATGCATTGGCAGGGATACAGTGATGAGCAATAGTATCCAAGCTAACATTTATTGGTCTCTCACTGTATGCCCAAGCTCTGTTCCAATTGTCCCTTTCATCCTCAACAACATCCCTCAGAGTGGGTGGTGCTGTTATTCTCTCCATTTTACAGATTAGCCAACAAGGCTCAGAGGGGCATCAGTTCAACTGAATCTGGTTCCAGATCCCCAGCCCTTAATTAACATTTACACCAGGACTGGGCAGAGGGCCTGCAGCTGCAGGGTCTAGGGCACAGACACACAATAGACCAGATTAATAAATAACCCAGGTAATTTCAGACAGTGCTGACTACCAAGTGAGATTGGGGAGAAGGGGGTCAGATCAAGGAAGAACTCTGAAGGAGGTGACCAGCTGAGAAGGACTGGAAGAAGGGTGTTTCAGACAGACTGTCCCCCAATACCAAGGCCTTGAAGTATTCGAAGAACAAGGAGGAGGCCAGAGGGGCTGGAAGGGAGTAAAGCAGGGGGAGAGTGAAGTAAGGAGAAGAGACTGCAGGGCCTTGTGGGCCCTGATGAGGACCTGGGCGTTTACTCAGAGAGACATAGGGAGCCATGGAGAGTTTGGAGCCTGGGGAGGGGTGTGATCTGAGTTTTAAAAACTGTGGCTGCGGGTGTGAAATGGTGGTTAGGGATGGAAGCACAGAGGAGTCCTGGAGGCCTCTGACATCTGCCTGAGTCTCAGGAACCCTGAGTCCCTAGGCCCCCCAGTCTATGGGAAACAGGCGCTGGAAGGTGGCAGGAGTGGGAGGTGCTGCCCCGTCCCCACAACACCCCACACCCACACCCCCTGTGGCAGGAAGGGCCTCCTTCTCTGCTGCTAGTGGCCTTGGGAGGTGAGACTGTTGCCTGGGAGTTGCAAGGCAGCCACCCTCCCACCCTGGGTGCAGTTTCCTCTTCTCAGAAGGGGGTCATTTTCTGAGTGTCTGCTGTGTGCCCGGCATGTTTCTGCTGCGTTTGGGGACTCCAGGGCTCATTCCAGCGGGCTTGGTCCGCATGGCTCTGGGGCGCTGGTACCCAAAAGTTAACCCCCATCCCCTCGCATCAGCCCCATTGGCTGCGCTGCCCCGCGCTTGGCTTTCATTGGTCGGAGCAGGGGGAGCGGGAGGAACAGCGTGACAAGAGCCTCGGGGGTCTCCAAGGGGGTACGTGGGGGCGCGACCTGGCCTGGTTGTTCCTCTCGGTCGCTGCCCCAGGGTCGCCCAAAATTTAACCCCATCCCCAACCTCGCGTTCATTGCCCCTGGGGCGCCCTCACCCCACCCGCAGCCGGCAGAGGCTGAGTCAGCCGAGGTAAAGAAAGGGCACTGTCCTGGGGAAGGTAGCGCGGCAGCTATGCCCAGCACCACTTCCGGCCCGTGGCTGCTAGTCTGAGGGTGAGGGAGCTGAGACCGTCCAGGAAGCTCCTGGGAACTGTGGGTGGGGGTGCAGAGCCAGCTTAGACTGGCCCGCTGGAGGAGCGGAGGCCTGGGAGAGACGTGGGAGAGCAACACAGATAAAGACACACACAGAGACAGGGAGAAAAGAGACTGAGACTCAGAATGACACAATGAGGGAGACAACAGAGAAACTGAGGGAGACACTCATTTATTCCTTCATTCATTTACTGACTCAGCAGATAGTTATTGGGTACCAGCTGTGTCTGGGCAGTGCAGATCACAGACGCAAATCCCTGCCCTCAATGGGGCTGACAGGTCTGGTGGTGACAGCCCAGAAACACATAATGAGTAAATCCCATCCTTGGGAGCAATCAGGGTTGGGGAATAGGAGAATAGGGGACACGCGAGCTAGACCCCCGTTGTCTGGGAAGGGGGCAGAGGTTCCCACCAGAATCCTGGCTGCGCCTGCACTCCCCCTCTCACCCCAAGCAGGATGTGGGAGCGGGGGAAATCGGGAGGAGTCTGCCCCCAGGAGCCGCCGGGACCAAACTGCTGTGGGGAAGGGATTCAGGCTACCGCCATCCCTGCCGAAGACCCCTCCTAACCCACGCTGTTGGGGTCCCTCGGCCGACCGGGAATCCGTAGAGTGCAGCTCAGGAGGCTCAGTCGAAAGGTAAGAGGAAAATGGAGAGGGACCAGTGCCCAGGAGCCCGAGGACAGACGGGACCCCTCTGCTGAGGGTGGGGGGAGAGGTTCAGGCTGCGGCTGTCCCCGCTGAGAACCCTCCTCTTCCCGCGCCTCCTGGTCCCCCCACTGAGACGGGGCGTCCCTGGGAGGGCAGCCCAGGCCCGGAGGGGGCAGCCGAGGGCTCGCCTGTGCCAGTCGCCGCCGGGTCGCGCTCCGGTGCCGCGGCGGGTGGCACAGGCTGGCAGCCATGGGCTGGGTGCCGGGTTCCAAGGGGCGGGGCAACTACTTGCGACCGCCGGCTCTCCGCGTTGCGGGCCTGCCCCCTTGCCTGCCAGCTCCAGCCCCTCCCCGCCCACCACCAGAGTGGCATCAGCTCTCTCAGCTCCAGGCTGCGCTACCGTGCTGAGCTCACGACCAGGGCGCAGGGTGAGTGTACAGCACTGGGTTCTTGGTGGAGCGGTGTTTCGTCTGGCCCGGAGGGGTTGCCCTGGCCACTACCAGTGTCCCCCTTGCTTGGGGTTCCTGGGCCTTTCCCGGAGGTCTCCTGGGAAGGGAAGAAGGCGACAAACGGGCTAGATGCGGGGCGCGGGCTGGGGGTGGGGGCTCCTGGAATCTCCCCGCCTCGCCCTCTCTGGGCCACGCCACTTCAAGTTTCGCTACCTCAGTCCTGCTGCCAGGCCAGCCGAGGCTGAGTCCCCAGCGTGGTTGAGTCTCTTATTCTCTGTGGGTCTTTTTTTTTTTTTTGCGTCTGGTTCCCTGTGTGCAACGGAAGCCGTTTGACATGCGTTTGCTCCTGCCATGTCTAAATAAGTCCGTTTGCCTCCCCATGCCTCAGTTTCCTCATCTGTTAAGTGGGATCTGCGCAATTATGTAACCGTTTCTGCGTGGCTGTGTTTGTGTGGGAGCATGAAAACCTTTGTGTCTGTTTCTCTGCAAGGTACCTCTTTTCAGCCTCAGTTTCCTCGCCTGTAAATTGGGACTAAGAGTAGAGTTGTTCAGGGGATTAAAGGGCGCACTGCAAATGGGAAGTATTATTATACTTTAATGACATATGTGCCCCTCTACAAGATCCTGTCTGTGCGATGTGGATCCTTCTGCTGCTTTCTTGCTCTGCCTCTATGAAATGGGTGAATAGGCTTAGCTTTCTCACTGGGTTTTGCGGTGGATGAAGGGAGTTTGGCAGGAAGTTTATGTGCAGCAAGATGTGGAGACTGTGGGGCTCAGGGCTCGAGGTGGGGTGTGGGTGGAGGCTGTGAAATTGTGACCTGTGCGAGTGGGCGAGGGCCTGTCTGTGTGTGACAGAATTTTTGTCCTTGTATGTCTCTAGCTGTGTAGCTTTGCCCATGGGTGAATATATTTTCGTGTTTTCCTGATGGGGTCTGTGTATTTTTGCCCTAGTTCGTGTCCCTGTATTTGTATGTCCCTTTCTATGTGTGGCTGTATTTGTGTGCGTTCTGCCTGTTTATAATTGACGATGCCTCTTGATATCCTTGTTTGTGTGTGAATTATGAGTATCCCTCAGGAACTGTGGGACTGTGTCACCCTGTCCCGATATTATGTCTGTGTCCGCCTGTCTCTATGGCCAGACAGAACTCTCCCTTGGTCCCAGTGTGCATGTGGGGTGGAGGGCAGGGGGTTAGGGCCCCTTTCCCAGTTCTGCGAGGCACATGCTCGCCTTCGCAGGCCGCGGGGATGGTGCGAGCTCAGCCTGACACTGCACCCGGCCTCTCTGCAGCCTTGGGGCGGGCGGCCCATGGATCCGGGGCTGCTGAGGCCGGCGCCGGTGAGCGAGGTCATCGTCCTGCACTACAACTACACCGGCAAGCTCCGCGGTGCGCGCTACCAGCCCGGCGCGGGACTGCGTGCCGACGCTGTATTGTGCCTGGCTGTGTGCGCGCTCATCGTGCTCGAGAACTTGGCGGTACTGTTAGTGCTCGGACGTCACCCGCGCTTCCATGCACCCATGTTCCTGCTCTTGGGCAGCCTTACACTGTCTGACCTGCTGGCCGGCGCCGCCTACGCCGCCAACATCCTACTGTCCGGGCCACTCACGCTGCGCCTATCGCCCGCGCTCTGGTTTGCGCGCGAGGGTGGCGTCTTTGTTGCTCTGGCCGCTTCTGTGCTGAGCCTCCTGGCCATCGCCCTGGAACGCCTCCTCACCATGGCGCGCCGGGGACCTGCGCCCGCTGCTGGTCGGGGGCGCACGCTGGCGCTGGCGGCTGCCACCTGGGGCGTGTCGCTGCTCCTCGGGCTACTGCCAGCGCTGGGCTGGAATTGCCTGGGCCACCTGGACGCCTGCTCCACGGTCCTGCCGCTTTACGCCAAAGCCTACGTGCTCTTCTGCGTGCTTGTCTTCCTTGGCATCCTGGCCGCCATCTGTGCGCTTTACACGCGCATCTACTGCCAGGTGCGAGCCAACGCACAGCGCCTGCGGGCGCGTCCTGGGGCTGTTGGGGGCCTCCCCAGGCGACCGCGCCGCACGCCGCGCTCGCTGGCTCTGTTGCGTACTCTCACTATAGTGCTCCTGGCCTTTGTGGCGTGTTGGGGCCCCCTCTTCCTGCTGCTCTTGCTCGACGTGGCTTGCCCGGCACGCGCCTGCCCCGTGCTCCTTCAGGCGGACGCCTTCCTGGGCCTGGCCATGGCCAACTCTCTTCTGAACCCGATCATCTACACGCTCACCAACCGCGACCTGCGCCACGCGCTCCTTCGCCTTGTCTGCTGCGGCCGCCGCCCCTGTGGCCGAGACTGGGGCGCCTCCCCGCGGTCCNCCTCACCCGGGAAGAGCGCAAGGATGGTGCCAACTTGGGCCAGTGAAGCAACATCCTCCACAACTAGACTGAAGAACAAAAGGACAGCAATTTGTCTGTTCCCCTTCCCCCAATTCCCCAGCGCTGTTGCCATCCCCTAATTCCCCAATAAAAATCTTTAAAAAAAAGTAGAAACAACCAAAGTGTCCAGCAGCTGATGAACAGATAAAATATGATATAATCCATACAATGAAACATTATTAAGCCATAAAAAGGAATGACTGATTGATTCACGCTGCAACGTGGAAGAACCTTGAAAATGTTATGCTGAGTGAAAGAAGCGAGACACAAAAGGCATGTTGTGTATGATCCTATTTAAACAAAATGTTCAGAACAGGCAAATCCATAGAGATGGAAAGTAGGTTAGTGATTTCTCGGGTCTGGGGGATGAAGAAATGGATGTGACTGCCAATGGGTTAGGTTTCCTTTTTGAGTGATGAAATGTTCTAAAATTAATCTCGGAAATGGTTACACAACTCTGTAAATACACTAGAAACCACAGAATTGCATATTTTAAATAGGTGAATTAAATCGTATGTGAATTATATAAACCTGTTAAGTAATGCCTGATTTTTAGCAAGTGATTAGCTCTGGACCAGGTAATGATTGCTTAATAATGACAAGATCACTGTAAGGAAGAAAAAGACTTTCATAACTCAATTTTATAGATGGGGAGAGTGAGGTCAGAGAGGTTAATCAAGTCACACACCACAGGCCTGACATTTGAAGCCCCACAGACCTGACCCTTGCCCCACCCCCAATATTACCCTCCCTCCACTTTCCTCCCCTTAAGTCAAACTCCTGCACAACTGACCTGACTTCTGTTTCTTTTCTATACACATTATTCCCAGCCTGCAGGGTTTTCATGTGCTGATCCAAGCCCCTTGTGCCCAGCTGTTCTTTCCCCTCTCCATCCCATATAACCTGTGAAATGAATGCCTAAGTGTGAGAGGGTGAGAGAGGAGAAGTAAGGGGTACAAGGAGGGGGACACCTAGAGGAAAGATCAGGGCCTGCCGCTGCTGCCTCTGGAAGATTTGGCTCTTGACTCATGTTCACAGCATTTGGACCCCTTGGCCTGGGTTTAACCTAAGGTGTAACTGGGGACACTCGCAGGAGGATAAGGTCAGATTTTCCCCTAGGGAGTTCACTAGGCCAGTGGTGAGCAGGTGAGAAGTGAGAGGTGTGGTTCTGTCCAATTCCTTCCCAGCACCTGGGGACAAGGTGATCCCTCCCACCAAGCTGCCTTCTCATCCCTTTCCCCTTCTAATTCATAGCCTTTTCTTAGAGCCTTTTAGAATCTTTAATAAGAAGTCTGAGGGCAGCTGGTTAGCTCAGGTGGCTAGAGCGCAGGCTTATAACACCAAGGTTGCCAGTTCGAATCCTACATGGGAACAGAGAAGTTGCTGTCCTTTTGTTCCTCAGTCTAGTTGTAGAGGAGGTTGCTTCACTGGCCCATGTTGGCATTATCATTGCGCTCTTCCTGGGTGAGGCAGTCACTCATTGGCCGTTGGACGGCCGCTCATGGCTGCTTGCCCGCAGCTCATGAAAGTTCATGCCCGCTACCCACCAACCCCACTGCAGCCTACGCCGCCACTGCTATAGCCCCATGGCAGCCCAGCTCCAGGTCCAGCTGTTGTTCACCATCTTAGCTGTAGAGGGTGCAGTGTCGCTGGCCGTAATGTGGGAACCAAACTGGGGCCCCGCTGCTCAGAGCTGGCATCCCAAGCCAACTCTATTTTTTTTTATAGATTTTTATTGGGGAATTGGGGGAATGGGAACAGACAAGTTGCTGTCTTTTTGTTCTTCAGTCTAGTTGTGGAGGATGTTGCTTCACTGGTCCAAGTTGGCACCATCATTGCGCTCTTCCTGGTTGTGGCAGATCAGTCGCCGGCTTCTGGACTGCTGCTCACAGCGGCTTGTGGGCTGCTCGTGCTGGCTG